CAGAGGATGAAGAGAGCACATCCAGTTAGTCACAGTCAGAGAAACAGGACTACACTGGAAAACAGGCCAAGCTCCAACATCTAGACACATCTAGAGATTTAACTAACAGATTCTGCATATAGTATGTAGTATTATAGATACAATAAAAGTAACACCTTGATACTATCCCTGAAGTATAAGTGGTAATCTCTACGCTATTTCTGACATTTTGAATTGAAAAAGCTTCCTGGATGGAAGAGAAACGTCTTCAAATTTGGAAACAAAGTCCAGTGGATTGCTTTTTTTTTACTTTTTGCAGCCCTTAGTTATTCTTGTCTAAGAAATGTTCTATAAATAAACATGACTAACATATTAATATAAACACAATTGGATCTCTGCTCTTTTCTAGCACTCTTTTAAAATCCTACATTTATCTGACATTCTTGCTCACCAAACGTCTCCAAAGCTATCAGCTCTACAGACCTTCATCTTCACAGCACAGATTTCCTGTTAGGTTGATCTCAGTCGTTCCACGGCATTCATTCAGAACATAGTTTTAAGTCAAACAAATTGTTTTCAATGAGCTCCATCTTAAGAATAACAGCCCCAGATCATGATGCTGCCGCCACCATAATCCACTATAAAGCCTGATGATCCACTGGGGATCTAATCGGTTCTTTTTGGCGTCATATTTACTGCTTGAAATTTGAATTAAAATCTTACATTTGTTTTCTAATTTGGTCTCCAATAAAGTTTTTAGGGATTTTAGGCAGAACTTTGGTTCCTGATCTTTGTTCTAATAAACGGTATGTAGAACACAGGAGACAGCCGTCACATCCAGAGTTAACCAGAACTCTTCAGTTTTGCTGTCAGGAACTTTTCAGCCCATTGTTGTTGTTTTTTTCTTTACAAATTCAGTAGAAAGTTCCAGTTTTATAAACGTCAGCCTCGATCAATACATGACAATATGTATATTGTAAATCTATCGGTGTATATTTAATATTGTGATAGTTTCTGTGGTGCCTGTCTTTGCCTAGGGCTGCAAATTTCCTAAATCCGCCTCTGCTATGACTTATAACTTTGCAGAATCCAAACTTTTATCCAGTTAACTTTTTGCATACAGCCTCACCATAACATTAACAAAATAATAATAGTAAATAAACCAACACAGCTGAACCTAATTGATCCTTAGGTTGTCATATTTTCTATCACTGGCGGCAGACATGAACTCCAAACCACATTATTTCCTTGAATTTAATGAAAATGTGTTTAGTTTTAGTGTGAACCCTCTTTTAAAAACTGGAATATTCCTACTTATAATTACCCGCTGAAAGATAAGTCCTATAAAAGTTATACTGGTCTTACTGGTCAATTAAGTCCAAATAGGATTAAATCAGCAGATAAAAGGCTGGAATTACACCTATATTCAATTCTATTCAGTTTATTTCTATAGCTCCAATTCACATCATGTCATCTCAGGTCACTTTCCAGTTCAACCAGATCATCCAGTCAGATTGATTCAAAGTTTTCTATCTAAGGAAAACCAGCTGATTGCATCGACTCATTGACTCTTCAGCAATCCCTCACACTAAGCATGCTTGTCAAAGAAGATGTATTTATTCAAATACAAACAGAAATTTTTTTAAACTGTAAATAAATTCAGATGCAGAAGGGATTTCAACCCTTTATAGGTGAAGTTACTGTTCAATTATTACCTGCATCCCCCTTACAAATGGAGCACCCCCCCGTCTATCAGTGAGGTCTGATATATTGTGTGATATGTGATATATTACATACTGTAAATGAAGTTTAAAAACTGTAACAAGTTCAGCTAAAAAAAAGCTAAATGTAAAGTTAAAAATTAAAGTTAATAGGTTAATTTAAAAAAAAATAACTTTTTTCTTAATAGGCTTATATTAGGGTGAGTGCGTGATTACACTGACCTTAATTTTTACCATCAAAATATAGTTTTTGAAAGTTAAAAAGTATTAAGGTCTTTTTCTGTGCTCCAATTAGACTCTTGGGGTGAAATTTTGATATTCAAAGTATTTCCCTGACTGATCTATGAAGGGTTTAGACTAGAGTCAGGGTTACACTGCAAAAGCAATCCTAAAATGAGTGAAAAGAATCTTAGAATAAGTGTATTTACCTTTAATTTGAGCAGGTTACATGATATGTTTAGCCTTAAATAAGGAGATACGATGCACATGAAATACCGCAGTTATTTTTTTCTTATTTTAAATGTAAATTGTCTTATTCCATTCGCACTTACCTACTCAATTCAGGAAAAAATGCACCAAATTTAAAAAAATACTGACTTAGATTTACATTTTTTTTGTTCAGTTGCTTCAATATCTCAAAGAAATATTCCTTTATCCAATGGATGCTTTATGTGGAAAATGTTTTAACCAAACTTCAAGGTTTAAGGGTTTGTAATTAGTAATTTTTTTCAGAATATATAAGGATTTTATATTTTTATTAAAAATGAAATATAATTAAAATTAATCTAACATCCACTGTAAGTTGTGGATATAAATATATATATTTATTTTTTTCTAAATGCTGTATTACGACAAGAGGAGGGTGTGAGGCTCTTGTGCTGTTCATTTATTTAAAGTATTTTATTTTATTTTGGGTAAAATACCACAAATATATGTATAAAAGAAAAAAACAACAACAAATTAAAAAATATATTTTATTGTTACCCGCTGTGATACATTTTTAGAAAGTGCAGTTAATCAGTTGCATAAAATGTCCGTTTGAAATCATCATAATATCCATCCGTTGACTTTATCGTTTATGGAGTCGGACTGTGATTTTTATTTTCCATGATTTATTACAGTACTGTCAGAGTTTCAAGTTCAAATGATTTTAAACATAGAGTGGAAGTTTAATGGAAAGTCAATAGTGACCCCTGGTGGTCATATTTATAGCTGCAGTTAAAACTGTGACAATAGTAACTCCTTGGGAGAAATATTATCAGATTACATTAAAAAACAAACACAGGACAGGATCTAGTAAAAGTTATAGTACATGAAATAATATCTTAAGAGCATAAAATGTACATCTATAGTGTGCTTTCTCAGATTCTGTCAAACAATCTGCATATAGTTAAGAATCGATTGTCAAGTAGGCTGATCAAGATAAAAACAGTTCCAGTGTGTTGGACTCATTTCACCAAACAGGTGAAGGTAATGCTGGTTTCACCTGAGAAAGAATATTTACCCTGATCAACCATCATACACTGCTACGTCACCGCGGTTAAAGTCAGTTCTGTCGAAAAACAACAAATAAGGAAGCGAAACCTTGACTGTGAAACTTGAAAAGTTCTCTTCATAACAGAAGGACTGCATTGCACAGATAAGGCGAGATATTCTGATCTGATTCAAGGACGGCTGAGCCTGAGGTGCGAGGTCGGCCATGTTGGATCGAGAGTTCCCTGCATGTTTTTCCTTCTGAGCCGTGTGCAAAGTTTACGACGAATAAGAGAGGATTCTCTTATTCTGATGGATGCAGAAGGGGGAGCTTTCAGGGTAAAGCCCCGCTGAAGGTCACAATGGGCAGGCAGAGCAGGGAGCAGAAGGTGGGGTTGAGAGGCTGGATCTGAGCCGAGGCCTGGGATTTTCTCAGCCTCCAGTCGGTGGAGCTGTCAGGTTTGTAGCACACGGATATTTCACACCTGGATAAGACAGGAGGACACAGAGGTCAGAGAAAAGCCTCGATCACGAGCCAGAAGAAACCAAACCGGCAGAATTTAAGAGGAAATATCACAAGATGCAAACAGTCGTGTCTACGCTGGTGAAGATCACTTCATTAAATCTACCAAAATCACCTCTGCATCATTTGGCTCCTCAAGATCCTCCACCAATCGTGAAAGTAACAGTCACAATTGTGTAGTGTCTCTTTAAAGATGTAAGAAAGCGGCTGTTCCAAACGTTGCATTTCCGAAATCTCCCGAATGGTGCCCGACTTTACA